AAAAAAATTGGCAGTTATAGGGACTGCCGATAGAAGTGAAAACTTAGAACTTTTAGTATTAAAATTTGAAATTTCACAATGTTTGAATAAAAATTATCAACATCAATCTGGTTTTCACATCTATTGACACTCCGAGCAACAATTATATGCATGTTTATATGGTTTTTTATTATTCAAATATTTACATAAATTTCAATGTACTTGATTTTTAACATTGTTTGCATCATTGTCATCATTAATTTCAACAATTCTTAGACTTTTTGTACTTAATTATTTCATTGTGTTTTAAAAAAGATACAATAGGCTTATAGTAACTAAAGTAAGAAATGAAAACGTTTGATTGAAATTTATCTAAATATCGCCTAAAAACGGCATCGATCGCCGTAACTGTATAGCTACAGATACACTGCTACAAGCATGTCGGTGACGCGAACCCATAACATTTTCTCCTGCCAAAAAGTGCCCAACGTCGCTAAAGAAGTTTTCACTTCAAAAAAATAGAGAAAGAAGCATAATGTACATAATACACTGCTTAAGCATCACCTAGTTGTGCTCATATTTTAAATCAGAAAGTGAAAAAATAATGCTCCATGAAATTTTCATGGGAACGCAAAAACGGCCTTAGTTGTCCTTGTCTTTGCAATTAACTTCACAATGGTTCGTTTAAAATTTGTTATCAATGTCAATTTTGCGCCGGTTCATTAAAGTCGTCAGTAAGTCTTTTGCCGTCTCGCGTCGATTTGGAAATGGTGAGAAACCAATTCAACGTCTTGATTAAACGGAAGATATGAGGTAAAAGCAACTGACTAATTAACCGACGTCGTTACCCTCCCAAGAACGACGTCTTGCTTTCGACGAACGTCAGATGACGTGGTGGCGGTTACAATGTGGGCCCTCAGGGAGAGGAAAGCGGGCTTTCGTAAAACATAATTTTGTCAAAATAATTACCTTCCTCCCAGACAGCCGTACGGTTATTACTTGCAATAACTGTCCGCAGGGAGAATCGTACATACAATTCTATTCTTTTATCAAAAACTGCATTCACTCGAATGGGCACAAACGTAGATATTGCATGCTAGAATGATCCCTAATGTTTCAGTCACGTGAACAACAGCTACCACACTATTCCTCTCTTTCAGAAAAGAACAATAAAACATCTCATACAAAGCAAAACAATAAGCGTACCTCTCAAATCTTGAAACTAATTCCAAAATATGAAACTACCAACTGTCTAAAATTACACGAAGCTTTGTTTCGTTTAGAGTTTTAGAAACTATTAAACTGTATTGCAGTAGCAATTTATTAATCATTTTCGTATTTTATTTAGCTGCCATGGGACGAAGTCAGTCGACTCCTGGTCTCGTAGAATCCCGAGGTCGAATACCGTTGGAGGAGATGTGGCTTCCTCCAAGTTTAGCAGGATTAACTCCTATCTATCCCAGGTCACTATTAGAGACTCCGCCACCTCGTATCCTCGACAGTCCCGGTTCGAAAGGTTCACGCGGATCAAAGGGTTCGAGAGATTCCAGAGGTTCTACGAGCAGCGGAAGAAGTCAAAGGCAAATTTCCGCATCTCATGCCAGATCAGGTAAATTAATCACGAGGGGTAAAAACAGGCAGGAAACCCGTTAGTAATCATAATTTACTATGAACGATAGTAATAAAAAATCCGTGACTGACACAGTGTTGCCAGAGTTGGTACAATTGCACCAATCTAGTCCAATTTCATTATTTTTGTGCTAATTACATTTTTAAATGATCACAAGAAAAATAAACAATATTTATTCTAAAGCAAATAAAAAAAATGAATCGAATGATACCGTCGACCAATTCAAATGTTTATTTAGCTGACTATGCTGTCTGGTTGACTCTTTTCACTTATCTTTGGTATGGGTTAAGCTCATGCAGCTTTCGTAACGATTGGTTACGTCGAGCTTTAGCGGGAACACGTCACGGGGAAATCCCTATTTTTATTATTCAGTACAAAATACTTAAATTTAGTGCATTTTTGTAAAATATTGTGATATAATTAAAAGAAAAAACCTCTGGCAGCGTATAAGTATAATCGGACAAAGTCACTAAAAATCGAGATAATGCTAATACATATTATAAGAATCCCGATGAAAGTTGCTTATTTAGATTATTAGTCAAATAAGTCAGGATGCAAGGATTAGTAGGGATATAAAGCAGAGGATAGCGCAGGGTCGTGTCGCCTTTAATAAAAAGAAGTCACTTCTGTGCTCACGAACGGTTAATTTAGAAATTCGAAAAAGGTTGTTAAAGGTGTATGTTTGGAGCACGGCATTGTACGGGTGCGAAACATGGACAGTGGGCACGGCGGAAAAGAAAAGGTCAGAAGCGTTCCAAATGTGGTGTTATATGCGGATGATGAGGATATCGTGGGTAGAAAAGGTTAGAAATGAAGAGGTATTGGAAAGAATAGGAGAACAGAGGACTGTATGGAAGTCAATAAAAAATAGGCGAGATAGGTTGGTAGGACACCTTCTTAGGCATGAAGGTCTAGTCAGAGACATATTAGAGGAAGAAACAAAAGTTAAGAGGGGTAGAGGTAGACCTAGATTAGATTACTGTTCGCAAATAGCTAAGGATGTGGGCTGTTCTAGTTTTAGGGAAATGCGAAGTTTAGCTCAGGATAGGAAAGAGTGGAGGTACGTGTCCAACCAGTCTTAGGATTGATGACCTTATGATGATGATGATAACATGTAAGTTATCGAAAATTTTATACCAATCAAGTATGATATCCGGTAGAAAGATAGAATTTTCATCAATGTATGTAAGACAAGATAGTCGCAAAATTTGGTTATTTTTTCATTTTCTAGTTTAATATCGGCCGAGTCAAAAGCGTAAACTTCTCCAACATTTTTTAGGTTAAGAAATGCTAAACCAAACGCATAAATCAAACATTTTGAAATTTCATCTTCTTAACCTGATCTATTTTGAATAGACGTATTTAGGAACATTTGTTGTCATTGTTAGCAATTCTATTATATTATATACCCCGGATGCAATTTGGATTGTTTAAGATTTACCTACTTTAAAAATTGTCGCTAACTTGCATGCACACTCGATTTTTAACGATTTTATCAATCAATAATACACATATGCACTACCAAACATGGATTCTTCTATTATGCTACCGTTAATGACAAGTTATGTTATGCATATTAACAAGTTTCCTCCTATAGAGGGGACGGTACGGGGCGTTGTGTGTGTTGATACGTGTTCTTACGTGCTCTCGTAAAAAACGTAAAATTGAGTGATATTAGGAGTACAAAACATAGTACGAAATAGTAAAAAGTAAATTATAAAAATCCTGCACAAAATTGAATCATAACTAAAGAAGAAATATTTCGTCATCCAAGAAAAATCTCAAATAAAAGCGTAGACAACTAAAGAGAGGTTAACACCTAAGCACACGTATATAAAAAGTTTCCCTTATATGTGTTTTTAACCCTGAATGCACGGTCTAAAAGTGAACATACGCGAAAAGAAAATTTTTCAATTTTTCATTGTTACCGAATGAGTTAATTACCTATAGATCTGAACAAAGTGTTTTAACCCCTTTATATCGGTTAGACGGTAAACACACGCGGGAAGGATATGAATCTGGCCGGGATTATCCGGCGCTGCATATACCTTTCGCCCTTCTGTGTAAATTTAATTATAGCGTACAAATTGTCGCGTGTTCTATTCGAAATTAAACCTGTAGCAGTTTATTTTACAACGTTTACCGTATTTTCTGCTCTAAAAAGATTTAAAGTAATATAGAAATTCCGGGAGAGATGGACAAGTTCTTTTAAGTAATACATACTTTCATGAAAACATAAGAAACAATTCATCATCATCATAAGGTCGTCAGTCCTAAGACTGGTTGGACACGCACCTCCACTCCTTCCTATCCTGACCTAATCTTCTCATTTCTTTAAAACTAGAACATCCCACATCGTTAACTATTTATGAACTGTAGTCTAATGCAGGTCTACCTGTACTCCTCTTAACTCCTGTTTCTGCCTGTAGTATGACTAGACCTTCATGCCTGAGAAGGTGTCCTACCAACCTATCTTGCCTATTTTTTATTGACCTCCATAGAATTCTTTGTTCTCCTATTCTTTCTAATACCTCTTTATTTCTAACCTTCTCTATCCACAATATCCTCATCATTCGCCGATAACATCACATGTCGAATGCTTGTAACCTTTTCTTTTCCGCCGCTCCCACCGTCCATGTTTCACTCCCGTGAATTTCTAATTTCTAAATTAATCGTTTAATTGCAGTATAATAAAAAATATGTATGTGTGTGTGTCGAATTTGTTCCGCGCAACTGTCATTTCGTGAAAAAACAACTTAAATTTTAATTTTATAAAGTCATTCAATTATCGCAATTGCGCTTATACTCACAGCGACATTTTACACGATTGTGCATGGGGGATTTTAGGCACTACATTTGTCTGGCTGCTTATAAAAAATATTGAAATTTTTATAATATTTTAAAATGAATACTCAGACTATAAGTTTCGATTTTTTGCGAACATTGCAGCATCTGGCAGAAATTACCGCCAACGGAATGTGTCTGGCAGTGTTGATTATTAATCTTTAACGACATTTTGTGAAATATTATGTAAAAATCTCCACTCAGACTTTAAGAAAAGTGAGCAATGTATTTATGTACCTTCAGTACCTTTTATCTGCAAATTGGCCCACGGTTCAAGTTTAGCAGGTATGCATATGTTCAAAATACATATTAATACTACCCCATCCCACCCATTTTGTTACTCAGAAAATAAATCTGGCGGGTCTAGGATCTTGGACTATAATAACCTTCACTGCAACCGACGCATTCATTTTATTTCGAGCACTCATCGCAAGTGTTCTAATTTAGAATAAGTTCTTCCTTATGTGACTCTGGAGAACTGTCCCTTTGTGTCAATCTTTCTTTCTACTTTAATTTATTTGCGAAATTCATCATCGTTCCTTTATTTTGTAACTTTTGCTTTCTACTTCACGATAATATCGGACGATGCATGCATCCTAATGTTGATAAGGAATCTATATAGAGGTGGTTTTCATTTTTTCAATTGATTTTATCATAATTAAGATACTTAAGAACCCCAATATACATTTAAACCTCGTATACGCCAATGACACCGTCTATCATGATTTGCAGCTTCAGGATTATGTTGCTGTCTAGGGTTGCCACCCATACTTTATTATAAAGTACTGTACTCTATTTCGACTCTGTGTACGTTATACTTTACAAGACTCATAAAGTACGCAAAAATACTTTATTTAAGGCCTTAAGGACGTTCCCAAAAAAAAATTTTTCTTACGATCATCTTTAAAATTTAATTGTAAATACCTGCCTGTATTCTGAACGCATACGAAAAATTGCNAAGCTAATAAATAATTTGGCTTTTTTTTCTAAAAAAAAAGTGTTTTAGTAATGATATCTTTCCACATTCATCAGTTCGAGACGATACAAATATGAGACGTTGCCAAGTCGAGTAAAACTACGCAGTAGGTCAATTTTTTCGCTTATGTGCATGGGAGGCGGGGCAAAAGAGCGTAGTGCTGGTCAACTAATTCTTACAGTGCAAGTGGGTAATTATATAGGGAAATCGTATTCGTAGGTTGAGAACCACTGGTCTTTGGGAACGTCCTTAAGTAAACATCGTAATTTTGTAAGCGATTATTCGAAATTCAGAGTATTTTTACATCAATAATATTGCACAATACAATATTTCTGATTTCCCAAATCTGTTCAAAGTAGTGTCACTTTTGCTGTCCGTTCCGGCCACTTCAGCATTTACAGAAAGAGTATTCTCTGTTATGAACGCAAAGTGACGGGACGACAGGAATAAAAGCTTCATTAAAACTAATTAAAAATGAACTTTGAGTTTACTTAAATCTTTGTTTGCCATGTTTAGAGGCTATTAATGTATTTAAGAGCAACAGCAATTTGTTACTGGCTGCTAGGTGTAACAAAAAATATGTTTTTAAAAACAAAAAATAAAATACTTTATTTTTATGCTAAGTACTTTTTTTTTAACCTTTTAGTCGAGAAATACTTTATGTAAAGCCTGAAAAGGTGGCAACCCTATTGCTGTCTCTTGTGCAGGTTGCCTTACATTGATATTTGATTAGCATTACGAAAGAAGATGGTTGTAATCAGGGACGCAACAAGGGGGGTCCACGTGTACCCGGGCACCCACTCAATTGGATTGAGCACCCAGTCAATTCCAGTCGTTTCAGATAATAAACCAACTTGAAAGTTTGGTTCAAATAGTTCAAGCTCGTAAACGAGCAGCCGAACTCGATCTTTTCAAGTACGAGGGCGGTTCAATATGTACCCGTGTTAGACATGAAGACACCTTTTTTTTTAAAATTTGTGTTTTTATTTTTCAACATAGTCCCCTTTTATAATGATACACTTCTCCTAACGACCCTGCCATTTTTTTTACCCCTCCAAAAAATAAGATTTGTCGAACTCTCCAAAATCCCCCCTGTCTCGGCGATGACTTCCTCGTTTGAGCTAAATTTCTTTCTCGCTAGTCATTTCTTCATGGTAGG